AGAATCGCGGAAAGGGGAACAACGTACGCGCGGCGCGCTGCTCTCGATGTGTCTTTTCGCGGGGAGCCAGGACCCATTTTCCTCCCACGATCGCCGCCCGTGTAGAGAGCCCCGATCCGATTCCGAAAATCGGATGCCGCGGACCCGATCGACCGTGATCGACGCGGATCGAGTGGCCGCCGCCGTCGCCGCCGACACTGTCCAGCTCTCGATTCACGGGGCAACGTGCGCGGCGGCTTATCCAAAATGTGCCAGCGATCGAATCGACGCGAGGAGAGCGCCCCGAGTTGGGGCACGAGACCGTCAGCTGGTCAGCAGGGACCGTTCGCTTTCTTTTCTTTTCTTTTCTTTTTTCTTCTTTCTGGCGGGAACGCAGGATCTCCGTTCTCGCAGGACCTCCCTTTGCGCGGCTAAATGGCGACGCAAATAGCTCGCTTCACCTCGTCTTACCAAACCGGACCCCGAGAAGGGCCAGGTGGACCCTCTCCCTCTCTCTCTCTCTCTCTCTCTCTCTCTCTCTCTCTCTATAAAGATATATATATATATATATATATATATATATATATATATATATATATATTATTTTATAGAAATCAGAATCAAACACATTTATATATATATATAAATGTATATATAAATGTTTGATTCTGATTTCTTGTAGCCAAATGTACAGTGGTTTCGGAATGTTTTTTACGTTATAGTAGTATGCATGCTGTTGATAATCCTAATTGAGGTTTTTATAGTTTAATCAGCTTGCTGTGGAGTCGCTTTTTCGGGGCGCGCACTTGTGTGTATAGCGAGGAATAAGCGACAAGTATACTCGTCGTGACATAAAATACAGTTACATCTTCGTGACGAGTATACTCGTCGTGGCATAAAATATAGGCGTTTATCTGTAACGAGTATACTCGTCGTGGCACGAAATACTGCCACTTTTCCGTGACGAGTATACTCGTCGTGACACAAAATACTGCGACTTCTCCGTGACGACTATTCTCGTCGTGGCACAAAATACCGCCGCTTCTCCATGACGAGTATACTAGTCGTGACATAAAATACTGCGACTTCTCCGTGACGACTATTCTCGTCGTGGCACAAAATACCGCCGCTTCTCCATGACGAGTATACTAGTCGTGACATAAAATACTGCGACTTCTCCGTGACGACTATTCTCGTCGTGGCACAAAATACCGCCGCTTCTCCATGACAAGTATACTCGTCGTGACATAAAATACAGTTACATCTTCGTGACGAGTATACTCGTCGTGGCATAAAATATAGGCGTTTATCTGTAACGAGTATACTCGTCGTGGCACGAAATACTGCCACTTTTCCGTGACGAGTATACTCGTCGTGACACAAAATACTGCGACTTCTCCGTGACGAGTATACTCGTCGTGGCACAAAATACTGCCACATCTCCATGACGAATATACTCGTCGCGACACAAAATGTCGCCGCTTCTCCGCGACGAGTATACTCGTCGCGCACAACTAACTGGTCAACAAAAACATAAAAAAATCTGCGATTCGTCGACGAATGCTAACGATCCATCAGTATCGTGTCCACGCAAGGTCCGCCGATGATTTCGTCGGCCGACGTCGAATCTCGTCGATCCGCTCGATCGAAAGAAGGGCCCTCGTGTAGCGTCGCGCGGCCACATGGTCGCGGCGCTTCGTACTGTTCCCGGTAAACGACACGAAATTTCCTTTACGCGATTGGACGATGCTCGGTTTAATCGTACGGCTCGTTTCACCGTTTCAAAGGTTCGATAAAGCGTGGGCGCGAGTGTCCTCCGTCGGGGCGAGGGTGTTCGGTCGCGTTACGCGCCTCCGTTCTAAGTACTTGCACGGTGTGCCGGGCGCGTTAGTTGGTCTGTTTGATGGCGCGCGCGGATTACGAGCCTCGTCTATCCCCGGACGGCTTCAAAGCGTCCGACTGTCCGGAAAAGACAGAGGATGCAGCCGGAAGAAAAGGGCTAGTCGAACAAGAGAAATTGAGGCGATAGATCTTCGGGGAAAAATTAAGACTGTTCCGGGATCGTGTGCTCGTTGCCGGCTCCTGTAAAACAGCCTCAAAGAGAAATGAAACGCGGTCGCTCTCGATCACTCGTTCGTCTACGATCGAGGGCTGCTGCCGAACGATCTATCGATACGTTAACGTTTCACGTCGCGAAATAACTCGAGAAATGATATTCGAGTTAGCGCGATCCTTGCACTTGACGCGTGCTGCTCAGAGTATGCATTTCGGGTATTAATATGTTTATTTAATTACTTATCTAACTGTTTATTTAACTATTTATTTAATTACTTATCTATTTTTATCTATTTATTTATCTATTTATTGATTTACTTATTTATTTATCTATTTATTGATTTATCTATTTATTTATCTATTTATTGATTTACTTATTTATTTATCTATTTATTGATTTACTTATTTATTTACCTATTTATTTATTTACTTATTTATTTATCTATTTATTGATTTACTTATTTATTTATCTATTTATTGATTTACTTATTTATTTACCTATTTATTTATTTACTTATTTATTTATCTATTTATTTCTTTACTTATTTATTTATCTATTTATTTCTTTACTTGTTTATTGATCTATTTATTTGCTTATTTATTTATCTATCTATTTATTTACTTATTTATTTATCTATTTATCTATTTACTTATTTATTTATTTATCTGTCTATCTATTTATTCATTTATTCATTCATACATACGAGTAAAAACCCAGTCGTCACAACAAAGATCAAAAAGCAAATATGAACAATTAATTTATTAATTATTTGAACCGGTTTCAAAATGTCGCGACAACGCAAGAATCGAAGCGATCCCGCGAAAAGGGTGAATCGTACTAAAAATCTCGACGAACAGAAAGCGGTTCCGACGCGGACGGTCGACTCGAATCCGATACTCTCCGCAGATTATGACACCATGCGCGCGCGATTCGCCTTTTTTCCCGGGAACAATTTATTCCCGCGGCGGCGACGAGCGACACACGTTCGTCTAAATATGACGAATGTAAGGGCAACAATAACGCTTGTTGCGAAACTAGTTGAAATTAAGCGTTACGTCACGAAAGCGAGCGCGAGCGCGCGCGCGCACGCCATTGTTCCTTTTACGTCGAATAGTCTTTTAATAGACTCATCGCGTCGTTCTGCATAGCGCGCATGCACTAACACATTTACCGTGCCGCCTCTAATGGATCGACTATAACGTTACCATATTTTTTCTCCATGCCCGGTTACTATCGCAACATCGATGTCGTCGTGTACACGCGCCGACAATTATTATTCCCTAACCGCCCCGCGAAGTGTGCACGGCATCGCCGGGAAATAACAGCGTAAAATCGACTCGACGAATTATCATCCCCCCTTGTCGATCGCGGATCGGGCCCCCGGTAGGATGAAATCTGTTCTGAAATCTATACTATCGAGCTGCTGTTTACGACGAGAGTATAGACCCCGCGGGACAACGCAGTGGGTCCCCGGGGCCCGTCGATCGGGGATGATTCTTTCGTCGTCGGCGATTGTTGCGGCCGAATAAAGCCGTGGACCACGGAATCAAATGTTTTCGAGCGGCGTATCGACTCGGCCGAGAGGAAAGGAGGTTCTCGCGTGGACCGTGAACCGCGGAGGGAAGAGGGCCGACAGTGTTTGCCTCGTCGAGGAGGGCGAGGGCTGAGAGGGCTGCGGGTGAACGAGCGAATTCTGTGCTCGGGAAAGGGACCGCCGTGTCGCTGCGACGGAGACGCAGCGAATCGGAGAGAGAGAGCATAGAGAGAGAGAAAGAGACCATGGAGAGAGCGTAGAGAAAGAGAAAGAGACCATGGAGAGAGAGCATAGAGGGAGAGAAAGAGACCATAGAGAGAGCATAGAGAGAGAGAAAGAGACCACAGAGGGAGCATAGAAAGATAGAGAGAGATAAAGAGACCATAGAGAGAGCATAGAAAGAGATAAAGAGACCATAGAGAGAGCATATAGAGAGGGGGAAAGAGACCATAGAGAGAGCGTAGAGAAAGAGAAAGAGACCATGGAGAGAGAGCATAGAGGGAGAGAAAGAGACCATAGAGAGAGCATAGAGAGAGAGAGAAAGAGACCACAGAGGGAGCATAGAAAGATAGACAGAGATAAAGAGACCATAGAGAGAGCATAGAAAGAGATAAAGAGACCGTAGAGAGAGAGAGAAAGAGAGAGAGCATAGAGAGAGATAAAGAGACCATAGAGAGAGCATAGAGAGAGATAAAAAGACCATAGAAAGAGCATAGAGACCATAGAGAGAGCATAGAGAGAGAGAGAGAGAGAGACCATAGAGAGAGCATAGAGAGAGAGAGAGAGAGAGAGAGAAAGAGGCTATAGAGAGAGCATAGAGAGAGAGAGAGAGCATAGAGGGAGATAAAGGGACCATAGAGAGAGCACAGAGAGAGAGAGAGAGAGAGAGCACAGAGAGAGAGAGAGAGCATAGAAAGAGAGAAAGAGAGAGAGCATAGCGAGAGAAAGAGACCACAGAGAGAGAGCATGGAGAGAGAGAGAGCATAGAGAGGGTGCGTTCGCGAAGGATAGCTCGCCGGCTTCGCGAGTACAGGGGTACGCAGCACGGAATACGAAGACTGATCTCGCGACGGGGGAAGTTAGGCTGTCGTATTCCGGCCAGAGCAGCCCCTTCCCTAAATCACGTTTATCGGAGACGGATGGCGAGCGGCTTGATGCAGTATCGGGGGGGGGGGGGCGAAGGAGGTGCGGCCATCCGGGAAAGAGAAGAGAAGGCCGGTTCTCTTCTTCGACGGGGTGCCGGCGGCGTGGCGCGGCTGGATGGATTCGGGAAAAACAGGAACAGAAACGGAAGCGTAGATCGAGTAACGAGAAGGGAAAGAGAAAGGGAGAGTATAGAGAGGCGAGCGTGAACGCGAACGCGAACGGGAACGCGAACGCGAACGGTTGATAAGTTGTCGAGGAGCGGAGCGCGCGGAGGCGCGAGGCGCGATGCGCGAGGCAAGAGGCAAGAGGCACGAGGCCGAGTATGAGAACGATGAAGAAGGGAAAGAAGGGAGAGGAAGCAGAGAGAGAGAGGTACACGCGGATATTGATTCCCGTGGGATATGCGCGCGCTCGACGAGACTCGGAAATCTAAACGTATGTACGATGCTTTGGCAGACATGCGGAGAGATATACGCGTCGCGAGGCATATAACTCCGCGGAGGCCACCAGCGGGCCTGCTGCCGTTTCCACGATTCGGAGCGGCGGCGGCTCGAGAGAGCGGGACGGCGTCGACCAGCGGGGCCCGGTCGCGTTGCGTTCCAGGCGAGGAACGCGAGGAGGAGCATCGCCGAAAATCGCGTATCGGCCGCGGAGGAGAACGAACTTCGACGGCCGCCCTCCCCCGTCCCCGCGGTCTGTCCGCGGTCTGGCCGCGCGGTCTCCGGCGGCAGCCGTGCCGTTGCGACAGCGACGGTGCAGCAGGCGGCGGAGTGAAAGTTGCCGGGCGAACAAAACGGACTGGCTGCTCTCCGGAGGTCCGGCGGCGGCGGCGGCGGCGGCCGTGCGAATCGGCAGGCCGCGCCGCGGGGACGTCTTCCCGAAACCGCTGCCAGCCAATGCTATCGACTAATGCCGGCCATAACCTACCGCTAGCTCGACCACGAGCGACCGCTGCCGCTATCGGCCAGCTGACGCCCGCCTCCGAGAGACCCACGGCCAGGCTGCTCTCATGAATGAAGCCCACGTGCGATCCACGTGACCGTTTCCGCTGAACCTGTAATTTCCAGGCTTCCGATCCGGTCCGGCCGATACGCGCGTCGCTCGCGGCCGGTCGTTCCGTCGGCGGGTCCGCTGCCGCCGCGCCGGCCAGGAACGGCGGGAGAAGGTCGACGAGACGGTGCGGTGTGGTGCTCGTCGGTGCCGTGTTCGACGAGCTGCTCGCTCGCCCTTCCCTCCCTCCCTCCCTCCCTCCCTCCCTCCGCGCCCCGGGTATCGAGCGAATTCGTTTCCGCGATACGAAAGGGGCACCCCGAGCGACGAAAATCGCATCGCGGCGGCACGCGGAACGCGCAGCCGTGGGGAAACACCGTGTCTCGGAACCGTATCGTAATTATAATATGCGTTAATCCCGCCGTAACGTCGAGTGACACGATCGTGCAACATTGATCGCGTCCACCCGTCCCCACCCACCGGCCCACCGCCGACCCACCGCCCTCCTCCTCCTCCTCCTCCTCCGCCTTCTCCTCCTCCTCCTCCTCCTCCTCCTCCGCCTCTTCCTCTTCCTCCCGCGACGATGTTCCTCCGCCTTTATTCGCTTTTATTCCCGTTCCTTACGCGCGATATAACCGTGGAAAAGGTGTCGCCGCGTGGAGCACCGGCGTCGCGCCGAGCTGAGAGACGCGCGGCGAGAGCGTGACCGTTTCACGCTGGCCCTCGGAGCAAGATAAAGAGAAGAGAGAGAAGCGTTAGCTGGCTAGCCGGCGAAAACGTCATCGTTCCCAGCGGTGTGTTACAGTCATCTCCATCTTTGCTAGGCCGCATCGTCTTCGCGCGCCCCCCCACCACCTCTCGCCGCTCCGGCAACCACTACACGCCATTGACAGCGTGTGTCCGACGTTGACGTAGACTCGGCGCGGCTGTGTGGCTCGCCGGCGGTGGCGGCGGCGGTGGCGGCGGCGGCGGCGGTGGCACGGACAGCGGAGTAAAAGGCGGCGGTGGAGGTGGAAACGGCGGCGGAGGCGGCGGCGGCGGTGGTAGCGGCACCACCACCGACGTCACGAACAACTTGGTTGCTTTCGCTCTCAGCGTCGATGTTGCCGTTGTCGTTGCCGGTACCGGTACCGGTGCGCAGTTCGCGATCGCAGTCGGTGCTAGCTGGTTAGAAGGAAATGGAATCGCGCCCGTGCAGCGACCGCCGCGGACGACTACGTTAAACGCGATTCGTCCACGTGGAGCACAGAGCCCGTGGAACCGGTCCGCCGCTCTCGGACGCAGCTACTACGATTGTGGGGCCCACGGTACCGTCGGGTACGAAGCAGGGGGCCTGCTAGCCGCGACACCCGTATTTTCCCTAGTGATGATGACGATGACGATGCTGCTGCACGAGGTGATTACGTGAACGCAACCGGTCCCCGATCGACGGGAGGACAAACAACACCGGGGCCTTGGAGAGGATCGCAGCCGTGACTCGTGGTATTCCGTGACACGGGCCCCGTACATTGAGAGACCGAGGAGAAATCCGCGAGGAAAGTCCGAGACGCACGATGATCTCCACGAACTTTTCCCGTCGCGCTGCGCTTCCACGGTGGAAGCGGCAATACGTTTGCGACGTGCTCGCCCGAGGAATCAACGACGCGGTATAATCGCCGATTTAGGGAGAGAAAGAGAGCGCGCGCGCGAGAGAGAGAGATAGAAAGAGAGAGAGGAAGCCGACGCGAGTAAAGAAGTGAGTTCTCTTTGATTTAGCTTCGTCGCCGTGATCGCGATCGTGATCGGATAGAGGATTTAGAATCGTTCGTCGATCGGATCGGTCGTCGGTCCGACGACGATCGTCGGTCGGCCCTTGGAATTCGTCGGTTCGTCCGAGAATCCCGCGGCGACCCGCGTTTAACAGTCGCGAGTCGATTCATCGCGCGAAGTCGCGTCGAGGCGAGGCGAGGCGGAAGTTTCATCGCGAGCGGAACCAAGCCGGCTGCGGACCACCAGGTGCCAAGAGGGTAAACGGGAGAGAGCCGTAAGCTGACAGAGGGCCGTTGGCAGAAGCCGCGCGAGAAGATGAGCGACGGCATCGTCGGTGCAATCGCGATCAGTTTGTTCGGTACTGGCTCGTCGCGAGAGTCGAGGCGCGTAACCGCGGGCGATTTTCATTGACGGAAGCCTCGTTCCAGGCAGCGAGAAGAAGCGCCGGGACAGCATGGATTCCAGTTACACGATCCTTGGCAATGATGTCGACGTCTGCAGAATGTTCGACCAATTCTCTTACAAGGTTAGTCTTTCGTTCCGTGCGCCGTGCGCGGGTTGTATAATTCGATGTTCTTCCCGCGCGCCGTATAAAAGAAGAAGAAAAAGAAAGAACGCGCGCCGGTTAACGCGCCCCTCTGGGGAATCACTGTACGACCCGCGAGAGCGGTCGGTTCTCTGAGTTGCAGGGGGAGAGCGCGATCTCAAGGTCGCCGGATCGCCGCGGCTGAACCGTAACCTTCCGGGCCCCGCTATTGTCTCCGATCGCCGGCCGCCGGTCGCCGACGCGGCGACGATCGCGGTCGCGGCGCGCCGTCGACGGTGCCCCGCCGCGTGCTCCGCGCCCTTTTCGTCCTCCCCGGCGCGTGTTGCCGCGTGGAAACGACCGGCAAGCCAGAATCCGCGAGCTAGAATCCACGGAGAAACGAACGAACGAACGAGCGAGCGTTTTCCGGCGCGCCGGAGATGAGATCCTCGCGCGTAAATTCGTCCCGAGCTACGCTTCCGATCGAAGCCGCTCGCTTATCCGTCGCGCTCGCGCGCGCAAACTTTCCCCGACGTTCGGCTCGCGTCCGATCCTTCCTCCGTCGTCTCCGTTCCTCCTTCCGTTACTCGCCGGACGATTTCTTTGGGGGCCCGAGTACGCGCGCGACGGACCGCGGGCCGCGAAACGAGAGTGGGAAAACGCGGCTCGGCTCGGCTCGGCTCGGGAAAGATTGCGTTTGCTTTCTCTTTCGCGCGTAGATAAGCCGTTTTCGCGGAGAAAGTGTGCCGAGCGGCGCGCGGACGAACGCGCGATACACGCTCGGAGAAGCGCGCGAGCGAACATGGCCTCGCGGGAGCCGCGAATTTCGGCGGATCTCTCGGTTCAAGAATCGGCGAAGGCCTAATATCCTCGGTCCGCCGGAATGCCGCGTCTTCATCGGCGAGACCATGCGAAACACTACGTCGAGGCGGATAACGCGCGCGTAGGCGCGACACGCTCCGGGAGCAAGACGTCGCCGCGCGAACATGGCCTCGTGGGTGCCGCGAATTTCGGCGAATTCCGGCGGATTAGCAGATCTCTCGTCTCCGAATCGGTGAAGGCCGAATATCCTCGGGAGTCCGCCGAGATACTGCGTCTTTATCAGCGAGACTATGCGAAACACTACGACGAGGCGGATAACGCGCGCGAGGAGAGAGAGAGAGAGAGAGTCGCGGAGACGCGCGCGGGGGGCACCGACGCGAGTGTTTCAGCGGTAGACCGCAGGCGGCAATGGGCAGCGGGCAGCGAGCCGTGGCCAGAGAGGGTTGAGAGAGAGAGGGTGCCGGTGAGGGCGGAGAGGGCAGAGGGTAACCGGAGGCGGACAGTCGGCCGAGCAGTTGAACGCATGGACGCACCATCGCGTCGTTCGCCGGCTCGTTGGCGGGTCCACGGGTCGGCGGGTCGGCCAGCGGGCCAGTCGGTCGCAAAGCCACTGACAAAATCATGAGCCACTTGTTGATCGGCCAATGACCAATCGAATACGGTACTTTGCGGACGCCGCGGTCTACCGGCGAATATTCGAGCGCGGATCCTTCGGAATCGCTTCAACTACTACGGTCTACGGGGACCGGCCCGGGAACAGGCCCGACCCGCGACGGACCCGCCGACGGTCTTAACCTTTTAGGCACGACGCGCCACTATAGTGGCTTTCGCGGATGTCATCTCTCTGAACGACGCGCCACTATAGTGGCTTGCTCTAGTAGCTCACTCGGTCATCGTTCGAATCAAATAATCGTCTTCGTATGTGCATTGTTTCACACTTCTTTTGTCTTCGCATCGATTTACGATATACAGACTTATCTTAACAATATAACTGTTAACAATATAACTGTATCTTAACAATATACAGACAGAGAATATACAGACACTCTGTACAGTACATATCAGACTCTGCCGTCCAGGGAAATAGCCTCGCGCAGAATTCAGCCGTACCGAAAAAAAAAAACAGGATCGAAAAGCGCCGAAGAGCGCAATGGCGCTTCTTTGATTATGTGTCGAAAAAAGCCGAAAAGAGCAATAGCGCTCCTTCGATTATGTATCGAAAAGCGCCGAAAAGTGCAATGGCGCTCCTTCGATTATGTGTTGAAAAGCGCCGAAGAGCGCAATGGCGCTTCTTCGATTATGTGTCGAAGAAAGCCGTAAAACATAAAATAAAACGTTATGAATGAAAATATATATACCATTAATTTAGAATAGGTAACAACAAAATGCAGATTGGATTACTGACAGCGATGCGACGCGCGACGTATACTACATGCGTCCGAAAGACTGAGCACGTTTCGACAAATTTCGGGTGGGCCGTAAGTCGTCTGTTTCGGGCCTAATGACCTGGCTTTTCTCGACACAAAATCTGAAGAGCGCAAAAGTGGCTCGTGGAACGCAAACGGTGGTTAATAAGAGCACAGATTTCGGACGGACACGGGCCGGCGAGCTTGCTGCCGGCTCGATCGCCGATCCACGGACACGCCGATACCTACGGAATGTAATTCTAGAAAGACGCGGCTTAGGCCCGACCTGGCCCGACAGTTTATTGACCAGTCGTTCGATCGGAATACGGTAAATTCTCCACAATCCGCGCGCAGATTGCGCAGAGAAATGGACAATCTGCGTGGTGGAGGTGCGATTGTTCGTTCCTGGAGGCTACTTTGTTGTCGCCGGTTCTCGATGACTATAAAAACGAGCGTCAATTAGGGAGTATTTAGTATACTCGTGATTTGTGGCTCGTTTTTATAGTTGTTGACAATCCAAAATTGTCCATTTTTCTGCGCAATCCGAGCGCGAATTAGGGAGAATTTACTGTATTTTGATTGGTTCGGTGGTTCGAGACCTAACGTTAGGTTCGCAGAACGTATCAGAAAGTGGCGTGCATCAAATTTTCTAATTCCCGATTATTTAGATCGCGGAGATGCGTTTACGGGGAATTTGTTCAATAAACTTGAACGCCTATCGCAGATTGAACTGGCTAAATATCAGCTTGTACACAAATGTGGACAATTTTAGAAGAGGAGGTACGATTATGAATAACCTCGCGGCTCGAATAATCGCGTCTCCGCTCCCCAAATTGTCCATTTTTCAGCGCAATCCGAGCGCGAATTAGGGAGAATTTACTGTCAATTCGCGAGCAGTCCGCGATGCTAGAAGGATTAGTTTAGCAACTGTTGCACGTAGACATTTTTTTTGGAAAATTGTCTCTAGTAGGAATCCGTTAATTGCAGTGGTGGAATCGCGATTTTCATACTTCTTTAACCAGTTCTATCCAACAGCGACGTTGAACGACAGGCAGGTTCTACCGGTTCACGATCGAATTGACCAACCGAGACATCAAACTGTGACATTATTGACAGTAGAAATACCTATTATTAGTAGAAATACTTATTATTAATAGTAAGAATTTTAACCAAAAAATTCTGTTTCCGATAATCGACTTGGAATATTTTCATTTCGCATAAAGAAGATCCTGCGCGATTAATATGATAAAATTGCATACAATAATTTCGTCGAGAACTGACCTAGCGAAAAGGTACTTTCGATTTTTGTTATCGGTGTAGAAGAACGATTGAAAATCGCATTAAAATGTGCTGTCGATGGGACGAGCGTTAACGGGGGACACGCGGACTTACGGGGCTCTCTGGATCTACAGTAATGTCTCCCTAACTGACGCTCAGATTGTACTCAAAAATGGACAATTCGGGAAGAGGAGATACGATTGTTCGAGCCTTGCGGCTCGTTTTTATAGTTGTTGACAATTCGTGACTATAAAAATGAGTCTCGTGTCTCTCCTCCTCCCAAATTGTCCATTTTTGTGGTCAGTGTGGACGTCGATTAGAGAGACATTACTGAATTAACGCTTCCACGACCGCGCTAGAAACCTCAAAAATTATTCATAATATTAAAATATTTCGTTCAATTAAGCAAAAATTACGAAGCAAACTTATAATACATGGCATCAATTATCTCTTCAGCATTCGTGTCTCATTACTGTACAGTAATGTCTCCTCTAATTGACGCCCGGATTGTCCACAAAAATGGACAATTTGGGAATAGGAGCCTTGCGAATTCGATCCCTTTCGACTCGTTTTTACAGTTACCGATTGTCAACGATTATAAAAGCATGGCGCAAAGCCGGAATAATCGTATCTCCTGTTCCCCCACATTGTCCATTTTTCTGCAGAATCTAAGCGTCAGTTAGGGAGACATTACTGCAGTTGGTTCGGACGCGTTTTCTCGGCGTTGATCGGAAAACATGTTTGGCTGTCGGTCGTTTCCCATGGTATTCATCGTTTTCGGGCTCTGTTTGCCGGCGCGGAGAGCAGCTCGGCTCGGCTCGGCTCGGCGCGACCCCTTATTGGCAACCGCTTCCCTTGTTCTCCGGCCCCCGACCCTATCTTACCCTACCTTACCTTGCGTTACCCTACTCCATCCATCGCTGCCGACCTCGCGAGCCAGCGAACCCGCGAGCCCTCCCCTTCCCCGCCTTTGCCTAGCCTATTCCGCGTTACTCATCTCCTCGTCTCCTCTCTTCTCTGTACCCTCTCCCAGACTTGGGCTCTAACCTCCCCGAGCCTCCCCCGATCTCCTGCAAAGCGACCCCACGGCCACCTCCAGCCTCCCCCTAACTACCTCGAACCGAGCCGAGCTTCCCCGTGCTCGGTTTCCTCCTGTTTCTCTTCCGCTTCTCTCTCTCCCTCTCTCTTTCTCTCTCTCGCTCTCTCAGTGTCTCTGTCTCTCTCTTTCTCGTTAAATCAATAAGCCATTCGGTCTGCTGCCACACTAGCTGCGAGGGCACTTTGTCCGATTTCGTTTCCGATCGGACTCGAATTCGGAGATCGTCGAGACGAGCTTCTCGCGATCGCGATCGCGATCCCAAAGATCGGACGAAGCGGAGGACGAAGAGGGAGGGTGGCGGGCGGAAGGGACGAAGGTGGCAGAATATATATTAGAAATACAGCGACGGAGTAGAGGAGAGAGTGAGAGAGAGAGAGAGAGAGTGAGAGAGAGAG